GGCTGTTTCCACCAGCAGGAGCTGGAGCTGGCGAGGCAGCCGGAGCTGGCGTCGCAGCAGGTGTTGGAAGCTTCCAGGATCCGACGTGACCAATCGGAGGTGGACGTACAACCGGGGTAGTACTGACAGCTGATGGGGCAGTCTGCGGGGGAACGCGAGGCGTTGCCTGGAACAGACGCTGGGGTCGTTGTGCGTCACCATGAGCTTGAGTTTGCGCAAATTGTACAGCGCGAGCTCGTTCCGTGGGAGTTGTAACGGGCGGTAGCTCGTCAACAACGGGGTCCCTGGGAATTTGCATACTCAGGCGACGGGATCGTTCTTGGAATTCGAGGTCGCTCATACCAAACATACCGGAAGACCTACGTGTAGCACGATAAGGTAGCGGTGTCTGGTTGTTGTAGTTGGTCGTCATGGTGATCTTGTTGTTGTTCTAGTCGTTTTCTCGCTGTGTGCTAGCTCGATTTCGACGTCGAAAACATCACCTTGTTCAGGATCTTTCGGGTGAGATCACGGGGGTGTCAGATTGACCAGGAGGTGTCACCAGCTGCAGTTAGCAGCCGTCTCCTGACCCAATCCGATAGCTAGGATCGAGATTGAGCTTGTTCTTCGTGTCAGCAGCGTCATCGACGTACTGCTGCGCGAATGAGAGCTCAGTCAATCTACCCCTTAAACGGTAGTTAGAACAGTCACATCGCCATCTTGATGTGCTGGATACTTCACGCTGAGTTCGAATTTCCAGGAGAAACTCGAGCTCGAAATCCATCCGCTTTACCACGGCGGAGTGGATCAACAACACCATGTTGTTGTTGTCATCTTCCAAATCGCATCGTCCCGTCATTGCAGCTCGATGTGGGTGTAAGCGCAGATCACGGCTTCGCCCTGCTCTACACTACGCGATATCTTCACTGCGAGAACGATGACGCTTTGGGCTCATAACCTACGAACTGAGGTCGATGTGAAGGATGACATGGTGGGGAGTTCGACGTAAAAGTATGAACTAAAATAGAGGGGAATTACGCTACGAGGTAGATCTTCATTAGGGTTGAGGTTGATCTCGATGTGTCAACGCGATCACATCTCACAAGTTGCTTATCTTCAGATGGAGCTCTATTCAATTACTGCCATCTGTTCCAGGACTTCTACAGGCTCGAATTGCTCTTACTCCTGAATACCATCCAGGTGAGCTGGCAAGTGCACACGAGGTTTGCGAACACGCCTGTAGCTGTAATCATAGAAATGATCTAGTGGTTGCTTCGATACTCGAATCTTGGACTGACAGTCCAAGTTGGAGCCATAGTCTTCAATTGTGTCAAAGTTCTGAGTCACACGTTGCACCAGTGCGTGGAAGCGAGGGTCTGACTTTGGAATTGTTCTAAGAAAAGAGCATGTTCAGAGCAAACAGTGTACCGTTAGCTGTGAGGTGCACTCCACCCTGGCATTAATGGTCAGCTAGAGGCAAACTTACTTGAGATAGTCAAGGAGTTCTGGAAACTCCCTTGATCCAGTAGGCAAGAGAGGACCTTCATTCTGACGGACGCCATCCCAATCAAACTCCCGAAACCATTGATGCTGTACTACCTGTTTGAATCCATTTTCTGCCTCACCATTTCTGCTGGAGCCAATGCGAGACTCAGGTCCAGCCAAAAGACACGAAAGAAAAGCAATGCACTCTGGAGACAACTGGGCTTTGGTTTCTGCTGGCATTTCCAAACACTGACGCCAACGCAAAATCTTTCGGCATGTGGTCACCGGGTCATCTGAAGAGATTGATTAGAATCTGCCATCAGTTTTGTCAAACAAGCAGAGCCAAATCACCGAACTCACCAGCATAGAAAGGTGTATAGCCCGCCAAACACTCAAACATGATGACACCAAGGCTCCACCAATCCACACTTTGAGTGTATGAGTAGCCTGAAGCTCCATTTTGTGCTGCCAAAACTTCAGGTGCAATGTAATCAGGGGCTGTACAGAGCAAATGTTCCGAGAAGATGTATGTGTGAGCACACAACAGTGTGGAAGATGGAGAAGGCAGAAACGTCAACACTTACTGCCCACGGTTGAGTAAGCCATCTGTACAAATAGGATTGTGGTCAGTGTGAGATAAGAGGTAATGACGGTAAACAGAAATTTTGGTTCTTGGTAGTACCTCTCGTCGAGCTTTTCCTGACTCATAGTTTGGCCTGTTAGGGCTGCTGGTAGTACCAATTCCATCAATGGACATGGCATCATCTCTTTCTGGGATCATGCTGTTACCACTGCCAGTGATGGCTCCATTTTCACGCATCCTGGCCAAAATGACATCAGGATCATCCTCTTGACTTGCATCTCCAATCTTCTTGCAAAGCCCCAGATCTGTCAGTTTCAAGTGTCCGTGCGCATCCACAAGAATGTTGTCAGGCTTGAGACTATCGAGGTCAAAAGCTCTGTTAGGGTGATCAAGATTATACCAACGATGTGACCAAGAAGCAGCCTGAAACTGGACTTACTCGCGATGAATATATCCAAGAGCATGAACACTGCCAATTGCTTGGGCAGCCTCTGCCATAAAGAACAATGTCACTGACTCAGAAAAGGTATCTTCCCTTATCAAAAGACTCATAAGGTCACCACCTGGTAGAAACTCCATTACCATGTACAAATGAGTCTCATCAAAAAAACTGAAATGCAACACAGTCAGCCATCGATTGTTAGCATCTGCCGTGGCCAAGGCATCTCGTTCTGCTTTAACGTGGTTCACTTGGTTCTTCACTACCATCATCTCCTTCTTCATGCTCTTCAATGCATAGATCTGACCAGTTCGTGGGTCATCTCGCTTTCCCTTGCGACGAACAAGGCGTACTTCTCCAAATGCACCCCTTCCAACAACAGCTAAGGATTCAAAATCAGTTGGGGTAAGCATCTTACTGTTCTCCTTTTTGCATTGTTTTTCCTCCAGTGCCAGTTGTTCACGCAGTGCTTGCTTTTCTTTCTCTGGCAATCCAATCATCTTTCGCTCCAGTTGCATTTTTCGTGTTTGCTTATCTTCCTACAGACAAGTGACAGGAAAGCAGTATCTTGTGTTAGAAAGCAATTCTCTGGAAACATCCATAGACAAGCAGCTGCTTCTTGTATCTTACGACGCAAGATTTCAGTCCGCGGTAGCGGTTTGAAAGGAGGGCCTTGGCCCTGTTGGCCCTCTCTTCCATTTCCTTATCTGCAGCAGCAACCGCTTCTTCATCTGGAAGAGGAGCTGGCATGGTCGTCCGCTTGATATTCAATAAGAGCGGTGGGAGCTGTTGAGTTGTGTTGTCGTGTTGTCGTGTCGTCGGCTCCAGTAGAAGTGTGCCGATTGATGCAACTTTCCCAATGTGTGAGCTTATTACAAGTGTATGAGTTACCTTTGCGCCGAGTTCCGCCAAAATTTCACGGAACATCTTCTTGCGAGTGGGTCATCGGAGTTGTCCGATGTGCTGCTCCGCTGACAACCTGTCCTGTACAGCTGTCCACAAGGGTCCACAGTAAGGTAAGCGTTATTATTCTAGAGGGTTTCAGGGTGCACACTTCTTCCCAATCCATTTCTTCTGTCCCAGCCCACAGGCTTTCTTGGCCGAAGCAATCCACCGTGTCATCGATCCATCGATCTAAAACATGCCATAAAATTCATTGCAAAGGAGAACTAATGATAGTTATATGTAGTAGATACTTGTTGCTTAGGCTTGGCTTCATCATCTGCAGTTAGCATATCTTTCTACTCCCCAGAGGGACGCGTACGTCTCCACCGGATGCTACACAGATTGGATGATGCCGTTGCCGTATCGGCAGCCATTGGCATATCTTATAGGATTCAATTGGACTCGTTACCTTGCTTGTGAAGGTACGCTGAAAATTCAACAAAGAAAAAGACAAGTGGGCAGCACAAGCCCTTCTGTACAGGAAGCCATCCATCCAAAACTATCGTCTTCCCTCGAGCACACACTACAATGCATCGAATCGGTCCTCGTGTCGTCAACTTCTTAGGCTCAAGTAGATTGACCACACTGGTTCAAGCTTCGGGGCTTTGTGCTGGAATCGAATCGTTCTCAAATATGGCTGGCGCGATTGATTCGATTCAAAGAAGCAAGTACTCCTCAACGCCTTTTGCTCGTTTGTTTGTTGCGATTGTCCTTCCACGCCACTGCATACTGAACAAAGTCATCACAGTAATGCAGCACCAAAGGAGCAATGACAATACCCAGTACAACAGTCATGAACGTCAAAGAAAATGTGTCCCAGAAGGAATCTGATCCGATCCGAAAGAGTTTGTACATCTTTGTGAAAAAGGTCCTCCGGCTGCTAGGGAAGGATGTGATGTTCCAGTCAATGAAATCATCTAGTGTGAATTCGTCACCCATGCGACGGAGCCTCTTTGGTTTGGTCCAATAGTCCCAGAATCCTTGCATATCCAAAGTGAGGAAATCCACCGCACTTTTGGCTATCAGAGGGACAACAAGGAGTGTGAGGGTGTATTGTACGACCACTCGAGCAAAAACGTTTCCAAAGAGAACAATCATGATTCTTCGGAATTCATCTCGATCCAGGCCTCCAGTGTTGGTGTTGTCGAATTTGCGATACATGGAGCTGCATCGATCTCGGCTCAGAGGCTACCATACCGGTACGGTATGCCAAGACAAAGAGAAATAGAAATTGAGTTAGTTGTTCCGCTGCAGTCTCAAGAATAAACATCGATCAGATAGATGGATCTGCACACACCTTACAAGCCGCTGGACCCAACCAGCTTCCCAATTTAAGATGAATCAACAGAAGTCCAGCATAGAGTTCCGTCTCGTCCACACTATCACTATTATTTGAATCCACCAAGTCAAATGCCATATCAGTGTACTTGATAAAGTGACTTGACTGTAGCACCATCGATATCACTGGAACCTGGTTGTCTCTTTCGATTCTCTCTTGTTCTTGGGTGCGTTGCAACTTCTCTGCACTGGAAAGGCTTCTTATGGATGCCCCAATGGCATCCGCCGAAGGTTTGTGATTGGAATATGCGTTCATGCTTGCATTAACTCCTCCTCCAGAGTACGCTGCAGCATGATGTGCAGAACCATTCATTCCCATCATCATGGATGCATCAACTGGAGAGTATGGCATGGCAGGATCTGGTGGCCCAATTGCAGGGTCCATGGGAGAGAAGCTTGACATGGGAGTGACAGCATCTGACTCCTCCTCATCACCTGCTCTCTTTTTCTTTCGTCCCCCCACAGCTGGACTGGCAGATCTCCATCGTTTGGGACTAAAGAGTGCCTTCAAGCCAGCCTTGGTAACGGGTGGTTTTGATGCATTGTTGCTTCGCTTGGGACTCTCTGATCTTCCTCGTTTTTTCTTCTTTTCTTTCTTTTCCTTTTTCTTTTTCTTCTTTTTCTTTTTCTTGCCTTCTTTGACACCTACTGCTGCTGCAACCTTTTTTGTGTTTTTCTGGACGTTTTCAGCAGCCATCAAGGACATTCTCCTCGTCCCACGGGCAACTTTCCGGACTCCACCGCCCACCTTTTGCCTCAGCTTGCCGCCTCTTGTCTCTGAATCATCATCGTCGTACATGTTATGCTTGCTGGATCTAGCTAGCTAGTAGCCTCTACCAGTATGAGTTACTAGTGCATCGACTGTCACTCTATTGTGAGTGGCGTTGTTGGTTGTCGAATACTCGGAAGACGATTGGATGATGTTGTGAGGAAAAGCAAACATGCGATTGTGTGTCCAAAGTCGACATGTTGCTGGCACCGATGGCGTGATTGTCAAAAGTCATCTTTCCCAAAGAAAAATGACCAAAATCCCAGCCATTTTTGGTCGGCACCTTTAGACGCAAAACGAGAACCACACATTGAACAACGCCCACCCAAAAATGGCAGCATGTTGAGGATACCGAGGAGGACTTCATATCCTTGTACTACTAGTATTACGAGCAAGGGTCTACACAGCAGGGCCAGCAGCAGCATCCAGCTACTATGCATAGGTGGAAATATCTTGTTATCATTGCTTGAATCACAATCACAACCAAGAATTCACGGAGTCCGGCATTTTTCCAATGATGGCAAAAAGCCCACTTCGTCCTCGCTGTTGCGTGCTCTGCTGTCAGAAGAAAGGAAAAAGTTCCAAAACGAAAAGTACAAAGAAAGAAACCAAAAAAGAAGAAACAAGACGGTCGGTCGACTGCCTTGGATTTGCTCCGTTCACTTGAAAAAGCCACCAAGGCACCAGCATTGGCAACAGTAACAGTTCTGTGGGCCAGCAGCCGACCAATAATCATAAGGAGCAGCCTCGTCATCCAAGCAGCACAAGTGCCATTGACTCTTTTTTCCACTCGAAGGTCGTCCTTCCGATCCTCACCGAGAATCCTGGAGAAATGCACAACAACGACAACAGCGCAATAGCGTTCGAAACCAGGCAGCTGACAATGGTCGTTGGCAAGAACCTTTTTGGGTACTAATACCCAAGGCAAAGGGAGAAGCAAGGATCATCCAGTGCCAGCAATAGGAAACAGCAGCAGTCACAGTCAAAAGTCAATATTTGATGTATTTTCACTACCACAAGATTCGTCCATTCAACGAAGTCCCACCGCCTTTGATGCCGAGGCGTACGATACATTCGAGGCCCTCCTCGAGATTTACCTGCAGGAACGTGACAAACAACACAACAAAACAATGACGATTCGACGAGTCACAATCATCAACTGAGCCATGACCAGAAAAATGAGGTGCTTCGGTGGATTCGACTGGACGAACCACAAGTCAAGGTGGATGTGCCTGTACTCACCACGCTGTGCGAGGACGGACGACTCCCTGGCGACGGAGAGGAATTGGAAAAGAAACATCTTTTGCAAGAACTCGAGAAACGATCCTCTGCATTTCAAAAACAACTTAACTGGAATAGTCGACAGTACAACTACGCCTTGGGCATACTGCAAGAACTGGCAGTCTTGTCGCACACTCGATACAAAGTACGGGCAATCGCCATTCTTTGGGAAAAAATGAAAGAGGCAGGGGATACGACGGAAGAAACGATCAATGCTTGTCTACAGGCATCCTCTGGAATATCGGGAGGGCTCTTGTCCAAAATGCGCATTGGCTTGCAGTCGTCGTCGCCGGAAAACATCTTGTTTCAAGCGTTGAATGGCTTTGGGGAAAATGAGAATCACAACAACAACCAGGAAGATGAAAATGACCAGCGCAACAATCCCCGAACAGTTGCAACCCTTCATGATTTCTTGTACGAACCGACGCAGCAAAGTATTTCCATCCGAACGAGACGTTTATTGGCCATGGGGGATGCGGATGCTGCGCTGGAATTGATTGAATCGGGAATGGTGCGTGTCGCCATTATTTGTGCAATGCTGGTATGCAGGCAGGTTGATTGTGCCACGCTAATGTATTTAGTGGTTTTGAAATAATGTTCCGCAGGAAGGAAGGACAAAACTTCGAGCATATCGGCAGGTGTTCAGTCTTTTCTTAGGTAACGGCGACATCCCCAAGGCTATTTCGTTGTTTGAGGAGATGAAACTTGCCCACAAGGACGTGCCACTGGAAGGAGATACGTTTGTGCAGCTTCTTGCCACTCTGGCAGAGAAGGGCTATTTTAGGTAAGCTGGACGGTAAACGGAAACGTACCAAGAGCGCCTTGTCGTCTTACCTGGATCCTTTCAAACTCGCAGCAGCGATGGATCGAAACGGTTGAAAAACACAGAATCCTACTCGCACCCTGGGGGGCCAGATCTCTTTGAAGAAATAGTCAGTGACATGGCGTTGTACGTCGACTCCCTCTCCTCGGCATCCGCAATGCGTTTACGAAAAGCTTTTGTTCGGGCTTGCCACGGCCATGATGAGAAGTCGGAAGAGTTACACAACACTTCGCTTGTTCCGCTCGCACCAACCTTCGAGCCAGCAGAAGCAAACACTCTGATTGCCGATCGAGTGACTATCGATCCATCTACTGGTCTTTGCATTCGGTCCGGAGCGAGGCTCAGGCAAATTGTCCTGAACAAGTCCCAAAAGACGCAGC